CAGAACAGACTGGCGAATCTCCGAGGGAAGTGGGGAGGGGTACAGGACATAGACAATAGGGTGATGAAAGCCTGGGCGGAGCGGGATCTGGGTGGAGGGGGGTAATGGGGAAGAAAAGGGGGGACATCTGAGATACTCTCAACAATAAAGATATAAGAAAATCTTTAAAAAAAGAATAAAATACATAGGAATTAAGTTAACCAAGGAGGTGAAAGACATACACTGAACAACTACAAGAATCATTGCTGCAAATAATTTAGACATAAATAAATGGGAAGGCATTCTGTGTTCATGGATTGGAAAAAAGTTGTTAAGATGACAATATGCTCAAAGTGATATACAGATTCAGTGAAATCCCTATCAATGACCAAATGACATTTTTTTTGGCAAAAATAGAAAAATCCACCCTAAAATTCATATGGAATTTCAGGAGACCTCAAAAGGCCAAAACAATCTGGAAAAAGAAGAACAAAATTGGAAGATTCACATTCCAGATTTCAAACTTTACTTCAAAGCCACAGTAATAAAAACAGTGTGGTACTAGCATAAAGATTAATATATAGCCAGCCGGTGTGCTCAGTGGTTGAGCTTCAATCTATGAACCAGGAGGTCAGGTTGGATCAAAGATCTAAATATAAAACATTATTACAAGACAGCCCGCGCACGAATCTGTGAGCCAGTAGCCTGCCAGTAGCTTGCTGCCGCCCTCCAGTAGTTCTCCGCCCACTGCCCCGCCCTCCTGAAGCTCCTCCCATCCCCCCTCATAGCTTGCAGCCCTGCGGGCTCTAGTAGCTCTGGGCTCCCCGCTCGTAGCTCGCTGCCCCACCCTCCTGCTGATCTGTGATCAGGTCGTTATGCGCACGGCAAAACGATCATTTGCATATTACATCTTTATTATATAGGATGCCTGGCGAGTGTGCTCAGTGGTTGAGTGTTGACCCATGAACCAGGAGGCCATGGTTTGATTCCTGGTCAGGAAACATGTCTAGGTTGTGGGCTACATCCCTGGTAAGGGGCCTGCGGGAGGCGCGGATCAATGATTCTCACTCATTGATGTTTCTATCTCTTCCTCTCCCTTCCTCTCCGAAATCAATAAAAACGTATTTTAAAAAATTCTTATAAGAGAACATAGGGTAAAAGCTTTAACATTAGGTTTAGCAATGATTTCTTGGATAGGAAACCAAAAGCACAGCAACAAAGGAAAAACAGATAAATTGGACTTTATCAAAAATAAGAAAGTTTGAGTTTAGCCCTAACCGGTTTGGCTCAATGGATAGAGCGTCGGTTTGCGGAC